AGTGCTACCACTGTACTAGACTGACCCACTTTGGCACAAAATGGCAAATTTCATGACAAAGAAATGTGAGGAAGGTTTTTTGCGCTTTAACCAGAAAATACCTTTTGTTACTGCATAACTATGTAGCATTGCCTTTTATTATTAACAAAATTAATTATATTTCAGATGCTGTGTAAATATTCTCTACATATTTAGGCAATAACGATTGTGATTACCCCATCGGACTATAACTATTTTAAAATTTTTCCTTTTAGGCATAGATTGACGTGGGTCCGAGGAGTTTACTAACAGAGGCGACAGTCTACAGTGATGTGGAAGTCATGGGACTTCCCCTGCAATGTGTATTATCTAATAACATTCAGGTTCCTGGGTTCAAGCAATATTTCTGGGTTACAGTCTCCCAAATGTCCCCTTTATATGATTGCTAAGTCTGTCTGTTTTTTTTCAAGTCTCTAACTATCTTGATTTGTGCACCAGACTATAGCTGGTTGTGACTCTTCATACTTGCTGGTCAGTGCTATTGGCAGTGAGTTTTGCCCATAAAATATTCCTGGGTTACTGAACCAACGCAAAAAAGAAATGCATTTCCTTTTACTCTTTAACCATTTTGCTGACAGAATTTTTCCCCCTTCGGAAGGTCAGGAACTAGATGGCAAGCTTTTTCTTGTAGCCTGTTCAGGAGTTCAAGAAGTTAGAGAATCATAGAAATTGCAGCTTAGATTAATGGCCCATTTGGTCCATTAATCTAAGCCTATTCAGGTGCTTACTATTCCACTCAAGTTGACTACTCTGATCCCAATTCCCTGCTTTTTCACTGTGTCATTTCATATTGTTCATCTATGCTTATCCAATATTATGGCTTTAACTTGAAGAGCCACTTGTGGAAAGGTATTCCACGTTCTAATAAATGGCTGCGTGTCTCTTCTAACCTCCCCATTAACTCTCCCAGGTGATAAAGCAGAGCTATGTCCCTGCATGCCAATAGTGAAATAAGCAACTATTTTTACTTCAGCTTTATTTATTTAAATTACTATTATATCACACAGACTGAGCTAACTGGAATGAGAAGTATTAGTTCTAAGTAAACATATATAATGCAATTTTATTGGGATGCTTTTCTTCTGAAAGGTAGGAAATGTGAACCATTTACGTATAATTCCATCAGCTGAACTGGAGGACATCTCCAGTGTCAATCACAATAACATTTAAAGTGGACTTTGAAAGGTCGAATTCCCTTCCTCTGTCGAGGGAGATCTAACGTTTTTGCCTGTCGATAGCTAGTTGTGCTCATTATGCAGCTATGGTATCCTGGGTGATCATATTCCAAGCTCTTCTGGCTGTAACTTGAACCCCAGTTCAATCATTACATTACATAAACATAACATGTTGGTGATGCTTGCTGTCATCCTAGAAAGATCAAAACTCTAGTCTCATCCACATGTAGACTTTGGTCAACCTTCATGAAATTTATAGGCAGCCCTGACTGTGTAATGGATGGAGATGCATTTTATGGACTAGGAACTCGATGGTTCAAATCCGATTCTGGTCTCAGCCAGGGCTATTTGGGGAGGATAAATTGGCCCAGCCTTCCTAGGGTTAGTGAGGGGAAATCAGTCAGGGTTCCTGTCCCTGATCCCTCTACAGCACACTCTACTGTTTACGTGTGTGTGTGGCACCCAGATGGTGTCAGGCTTGGCTGTGACAACGTCCACAGTCGAGTGGCCTGGCAACACTCACTGCCAAGACTTCACACGTGAGCAATGGCTACTGACAGGGCACCAGATGCCAACCAATGCCTATGGAACTGCACTGCTGTAAGAGAAGCCAGATTAGGTGCAGAGAGGGATATGCCAGAGGGAAGGAGTTAGAAAACAATAAATAAATGGACACACTAAAATTTTAAAAAATTAAAAATTCCACATTGAAAACCGAAAGCTAATTGGGCTTCTAACATCTGATATTTGTTAGCCACATTAACATTTGGTAGCCCAAAGCTATAAAGACAATGAATTTCGATCCTTGGTAAATTCTATCACTATTTACGTAATTGCAAAATGAAATATTCTTATCTTTCCGGCCTCCAAAGCCCCTGCCGCAGAAAATCTATTTCAAAATTGAAATAAGTATGTTCATTTCTAATGTGCACAAAGAGATCATAATAAATCATACCAAAAAAATGTCTGAAGCCAAAGCGCTCTCCTTTTTTCATTGTCTATTATTTAGCATTCTGGGTTGTGTATTGAATTAGAGGAGCTGCACAATGCTATTTGCGATGTTACCTTATTGAAAGCTGTATTGTAAAAGAGCCTAATTGCATGAGACCAAGTGTAGAGATTACCTCATAAAGAAATTAAAGTCACTGGTATCAGAACCCAGGGGAGATCTTCCATACCATTAGGGAATGTCCGAATGTTCACATTAATGGAAAGTCCATGAAGAACCAAGTATGACTAATCAGCATTAGAAACAAGGGGAAATCTTTATTTATCAGAAGCATTTCTCTCATTGAAACCACTGTACATTAAATATGGAATTTTTCTAAGTTCACATTCACATCCACTATTGCTTTTCTAGTTATCGTCAATCAGCCCCAATGCAGGGGGGAGAAAATCATTCTAAATTTGCTGAGTTTATCAAGCATTTGCAAAGGCTCAATATTCAATCCCAAGGGAACAATCTTGCCTGATGAGCAACTGGGAAGGTGATGTCAATGTAGTTAAAACAAATGGAACAGATAATATGCTATGATAACTGATGCTTTCACTTGGCATGTGGCCTGGGTCAACATACTAATTCCAGGCTGAAGTGAACAGAATTCAAAGTTCTTCATAATGCAATTATAGTCGGATGTCATAAAGAAAAGGTAATTTCTTAATGGGAAATAGTCGAAGTCTTGAATGAACGATCTCCCATTCACTTCATACCTCACTGATACCCAACTGGTTTGACCAATCTCGGAACTCCTGAAGTTGTAATTTTGGATCCATTGATGTTCAGTTTGAAATAGGTCATGTAACTTTGTCTCAATTACCAATAAAGTCAATCGGGCTACTTTTGAAAAGCAGCTGTGGATTCACCTAAATCCAAAATGTTGAATTAAATTCAGAACTGGTCAGTTAAGGGATGCTGCATTTTTCTATTGTTACCACCCACTATTAGCACCAAGCACTTCTAGGAGATGTAACCCATCCTCTGTGTAAATAAACGTTTCCTGCCTTAAACTTGACCATCGCAATCCTCGATTTGAGTCCTCTTGTCTTGCTGCCTCAGCACATTCGAAAATATTGTTCTGAGTTTACTTTCTTAATCCTATTTAGTTTCTTGTATACCGCCCCTCCTTGTATGCCTATTTTCAAGGCTGAAAACTTATTTTGTTGTTCCTCATAACTAAACTCTCTGGAAATCAGCATCTTCTCAGCCTTGGGAATGGGAATCTTCCTAATGTCGCAGCGACCAGTATAGTATAGTACTTGAGGTGCGCCGTGACCAAAAGGCCAGTGTCCTTTGGCTCAGTCCAGTCCAACTCCTTTCATCGTGCTCTCTTGCATTAATCCTACTCAGTTTGAAATATTTTTGGATATAAGATTTTATATTTGTATCAGTATTGCCAATATTGGATGTTCTATCGTCACAGCTGCATTTTCCATTTGCGGATGACAAACAGATGTGTTTTTCTCTTTGTTGTGGTTTGCACGGTCCAAACATTTCATTTAAAGTATTGGAAAAATCTTTGAATTAAAAAAAAGTTTAAAAAAAGAAACGCAACCGGCTTCACAGACAAGAAGTAACTTTAATTAAATATCGTGTAAGTTGAAAAGTTTTTTACAGCTCAAATTTCTGCAAAAAATTTATAACAATCTCTACAGTAGTTTGTTTGTCTACCATTTATCTTACAGTGTGTCCAAGAGTTCACATAAAGAGGTGGAAGGCAATCAGTTAAACGTGACTTTATTATAGCTGATGTTGGCAATCGGGAGGTGTCCCTTCACATTTCCGTCAGGAAGACTGCTCGTCTCTTTCAGTGTTCAAGTCCAGGTCTCTGGTGACTCCATTATAGTTCATTGCCAGCAGTTGCACAATAGCTGATATCAAGCAGGTATGAACTGGTTCAGTCAAGAAGGCCGGGAGGTGGGTGTGGGGAGAAGAGGGGGATCAAGAGCAATACTCGTTTGCCACTATGACACATCTTTTCTGTCTCCAAAGCTCCAACTTCCAATATTCCTCACTCTCCCTGGAAAAATCCCCATTTTTCCCCAAATCCAAGTGACACTCCAGTGTCCTTGGAAAGCCATACAATATTTGGCTGGGAGCATGCATGACTGCAGCACGGTCACACCGAGTGGGTTATATGGCAACAAAAAGAGGTACATTTCTCAGGGTAACAAAACAGTTAAAATTGTGCTTTTTCCTTATAATTTCCATATATTTTTAACAATATTAAGTGATGATTTTTTTTGACAGTTCAGGTGCAGAAAATGCTGAGTGACTGAAATGAATATGCTTTGCATTGTTAAGGCATCCAGACTGCTGGTTTATAGAATTTTGATGTAATGTCACAGAGAAAGATTAAGATGGGACTGGAGAGGAGGAAGGTAAGAGAGACTGATAAAGAGAGAGGGAGGGAGAGATGAAGAGAGAAAGAGAGAAATACACGGAGGTGCGAGAAAGAATGTATTTCCATATTCGATGATTTTTTTTCCTCGCCATTTTAATGCAGAAAAAAAAATGCAACCATCACTGCAGTGTGGAGAGGCATCCCATGCATATTACTATAGTTAAACAGCATTAGTTTCCTTAAGCTTCCAAAGCAAAATTTACCGTTAAATCTACGTAACTAAATGCTATCAGATTAAGATGTTGCTTTTTTTTGTTAATGCCGTACAATTTTAAAAAACACACACAATTCAGTTAACTTATAAACGATATAAAAATAAACAATGACTTTTTGACAGAATTTTTAAAAAATGAAAAAAGCGTGGTTCAAAACGATACAAAGCACAATATCAACTTGATGGGGAAAAAAAAATAAAACCAAATGGAAATTAAAATGATACACAAATGAGACGCTTTTAAATCACATTTAAACGATTGCTACTCATGAGCAATTTTGAATGGCCTAATATGTCGGCACTCTCCCACAAAGCATACATACACATTAAAATAAAACCGGGAGGGGGAAGGGGCAGGAGGGGGGAAAAGCAATGTACAAATTTCAAAGATAAATACATTATTTATAAGCATATTTTACAAAAAAACGTTGTCTTTAAACCGATGCTTAATTATGCAAGGAGATGCAAGCGAAAAGTAGTCAGCTCCTTGCACCCAGTGAACGAATAAAACCAAAATGTTTATGCAATAAAATTCATTGTAATATTGAAAACTGTATTTAAGACATTGAAATGTATAAATATTTAAACAACAACTTTGGCAAAGAAAAAAATCACAAAAATCTACAATATTTATAACTACATACAAAACACAATACAGAAGAAAATAACTGGATAATGCTTCATCAGACCTCTGCTGAATCCTTCATAAAGTACATTAAGAGCATTTTCATTATTACAGTGCTAATAAAATCGCAATTTTCAAAAACTTCCCCTTTCATGTTTGTCTCCACAAAGCACTAGTATATTTTTCACCCCTGTAAGTACAGCAGCTAAAACTATATTGGGTTTTCAAAGTCATTTACAAATTACAAACCCGTGTTGCTGAAGGCTGGTTGTGCTTTGTTACCTTTCCTGTTCAATTTAAAAAGACAATTGGGATCTACTAAAACTACGCTTGGGGCATCGGCTTTTGATACAGCAACAATGGCTGGCTGGTCACGCAACAATAAATGCACCAAACGCCAGTCGGTTAATGTCAATCTGTGCCCCACACCCACCCCCTAAACTTTGCATCTCTTGAGGTTCTCTTGACCTCAGGAGAGGAGGGGATCAGGATAGTCCATCTCTGACCTTAAGCGGGTCTGGGTACCTGCAAGATAACGCCATGCCCTGTTTCATTTTCACAACTATAATCTCAACCAGCCTAGAAACGTAGATTTGTCTCATGAAATGGCATTAGCACTGTAACAGCCGATGCCAAGATTCGAAATGGCAATATTCCAATTCAGTACACACCCATCTTCACTTTTGTTTCAAAAAATCCCATTTCAATCTACAGATTGTAACCAACTAGTACACTCTAATCGTTCTAATGTTTCCCCCTAATTATTATCACTACTTGTTTCATGTGCCTTCACACACAACTTTTCATTTCACTCCACTGAAATCCAATTTCTTTTTTTAATATATAAATTAAACGTCACATTCTGTTACAGTATCCCATCAGGAGTTTACAGGATCTAAAAGGCATTTGCTCTTCATTAAAATGAATAACTGGGTTGAAGAACGTTTTGGAACATTCGAAAAAGTGAACATTTATCAACATAGAACAAATATTTTTTTCCCCCACAAATATGGGACCAAATACGTAAAACGTCACCCTTCTCTCTGATCGCCTGATCAGAGATGGCAAGGGCGGAAGTTTAAAAAGTGTTGCACTGATTGTGTGGGTGGGTGGGTGGGTTGGTTGGTTCTACACAATCCCGCTTTGAAAGGCCTGAGTTAAAAGTTCCATTTGTTGTCTGGGACGTGCATTCTCTTCTCCTTCTGGAGCAGAAAGTCATCTAAATGTGGGCATATTATTTCAGTCTTCGAGGCATGGCATCCCCTCTACATCGGAGGAACGATCATGCCAGATATAGCTGCAAAACATAAATAGGAGAAAAAAAANCACAAAATATAACAAACCTTCCTTTAAAAGGGAAATACCAGCAATACATTTAGCTTCAAATGCCAATTCTTATTTTTCTCTGTCCCCCTTCTCCCCCTCCTTCCTTCAATGCACTGTTTTATATGGAATCTATCTGGGGCGACGTCCTGAATGGCCTATTTTTGTGTGTAAGCCTGGATAGTAAGCCTCGGCAGGCAATCTGATCAGAGTGACCAAAAGCAGCCTCACCATCACTGGAAAAATCACTTCACACTCCTGATGACTACGCAATGACTCCTGGTACCAAAGAATATATGTGCACATTGAGTGAAAACAGAATCAAATGACCTCTTCTTATTTCTCCACAGCTGCATATGTTGCCATCATTCCCTGTCCTAGCTTATATATGAGGGACAGGGAATGATGGCAAAATAGTATCATGTAATAGAGGGTGTCGCTATCCGTGGAACCATGCCCTGTCACAACGCAGCAGCCAACTCTGTAACAATCAGTGCCAGCCATTCGTGACTGAGAGGATTGATAATACAACATGAGCCAAACACTGGTAAATATATTCTCACTATCATATAAAAATACACCCTGTGTAAACACAAATGAACTGCACTCACTAGTAGTAACTGAACTGCACTATATAGTAGTAACTGGATTTTTAGAAGCCATATCAACATTGATAAAACTTCCAACGAGTTTTACTCTGTTATTCATCTTGACTACGTCAATTTTGTTTCCTCTTTAACCTATTTGAAGCTCATTTGAGGCAACTGTGAGGATGGTTAATTTAATCCAATTTCTAATCCTTTGAAAGTTTCTCTTTCTTCCCAATTGTTTCCCTTTTATATTTATCCCATAAAGTGACCGCTGTGCTTCGTGGGTGAGTGTTTCAGGGGCTAAACCAATAACAAAGTCCAGGCCAGACTCCTCAGGGAGCTGGCTTGTTGAAAGCTGAGAAGCAGCATGGTCCGAGCTAGGTCCAAGGACTACTCAAATTGTACAACTGAAATCCACCAGCCTGCTTTCCTTTGTTGTAGGGCTTTAGTTTCTTCCGCCCCTCACTCTCTTTCAGTGCCTGATTTTTGTTCAGCGTTAAGAAGCTATCAAAAGGTTTACCTCACAGCCTTGTTAGCATTCCTACTCTAAAAGATCAGAAAGGAGTTTCTGTCTTTTACTGCATCTATAAATTCCAGAATAGTGACCTACAAGACAGTGCCTGAGCTGATTTAAAAATATAGAAGAATGCTTCTCTATTTCAGCTGTAATTAATAACCACGGAGATAACAATATTAGCTATATTTTACTTATTGATGGTCAGATTGCCTTACTCCTGTTACACATCGACCCTGGTTTTGCTCTGTGACAGTGCAATATTTTTAGAGGTGTTTTTTAAGTCGAGTTCCTTTTAATTTTATTTCTCCTCTCCTGACACTATTCTACTTTCAGTCCCTCCTTCTGCTGCTTCAGTCTCCTCCCTAAGTCAAGAGAGATGGCTAGTCCAGGCTGGAAATAATGTTGTCCAAGCTTGTCTACAATCGCATGGTTCCCTACCTCCTCGACCTTGCCAACCTGACTGCTTCCTCCACTAGGCAGGCGCTAGCTTGCTCCATATCCCCCACCCTGCCCATCTGACGAGTGGTGATCAGATCTTCAGCCTTTTTGCCCTCACCCTGTGGAACTCCATCCCGGAATCCCTTCGCCTTGCCCCCTCCCTTGACTCCTTCAATGCCTATCTCAAGACTTTGACCTTGTCTTCGGTTATCCTCCCACTCCCAAACCCCCTTGCCCTGAACCCCTCTTTATGCCAACCCCCAGCTCGGGTCCAAGGCTTGGGACATATTCCTACATAAGAACATAAGAAATGCTAGATGAAGAAAGACCAAGGTCCATCTAGATCACCTTCGCCTTCCTGGCAGTCGTATGCACATATGTCCCAAACTACCTATATGCTATATCCCATAATGTTATTTCTTAGAAGAAATCTATCTACTCTGTGTACTCCTGACGTGAAAGATACTATATAAATGCAATTGGTGTTGTAACCTTTGACAATTGTGAAGAAGCAGTATTTTCAGAATATTATTTTTAAACTGGTTTCTCTCTCTAATTTTCCTCTGTCCTGAAGGTGCTGACTCACAGGTAGCAATCAGAAGCCCTAAATTTCTCATGATCTTAGCCTTAGACCACTGACTTAAAATATAACATGCTGCAGGATTTTAGAAAATTCTGAATTTTAGAAAAGTCTTGATATTTAAGGATTTTTTTCACAGTTGTTTGAAAAATCTGCTTCAAAATTTAGGCTGAATTTAAAAATGCTCTGAAAGTTTGCCCAATCTAAAATTATTTTAAGACAATGGTATGAGATATTTTACGCTGTTGGAGTGGTAAACGCTAGCTCTGGGACACTGAGACTAATTGTGGTGTCCCTATCCACTACCCCTTCTTCCAAAATGAGATCACCCCCTTTCCCCCAAACTAAGATTAATTCAGCACAGGCTGGGATAGACCTCGGGCTTTCTTGTTCTCATACCTCATGACGTGATGGACTCAAATATTGGAGTGCTTCAGAGGCATGTCAGCAATAATAAAGAGGTTTGCTAACATGTTTCACAAGACCAGCATGGTTTAAAAGTGCTCTGCCATCCAGAAGAAAAACACAAGCAAGTGGCAGGCTTAGACAACCAGTAAATAGAATTATAATAAAGATTTAAATAATAAAATCTCACTAACCAGGATAACAAATTTGCCAAGTGATGATAAAATCCAATTTATTAGTCTCAACGGCCAGTGATATTGCTCTGTTATACAACCAATTATCACAGGATTTATGAATTAATTTCCTAATGACTGATTATAAAACTGTGATTATTATACATCTGATCACAAATTGATGGCTTGTTTTATATGCCTCTACCAAATGAAACCTTTCACTTATAATTTATATTATTAATCAGCTGAAAGCTTCGTTAAAGAATCAGGGTGATTGGAGTCTACCAAATCACACCAAAATTGACCCCAAAAGCTTCCTGTGCAAAACCTTGAACTTAATTTTTTTTTAAAAAATCAACTAGTGAATTACTGATACAAGAGGGTCAAAGTGATCAAAGCTTTAATTCTTATTTATGAAATAAATATTTTATAAAGTGAAGGAAAATATCGTATTTGTGCAAACCAGTGATTTAAAAAAAAGTTTTGGGTTGCATCAAGAGCAAGCAGCACGCTAAGCAAAGCCAAATGTTGGAGAGCAGAGACTGAGAGACAAGGGCACTTCTGATGGAAAACGGCAACAAGAAACTTCTAACAAATTGCACCAGCCAAGTTAAGCCGGAAAAGGCTGCAGAGCAACTGGTTTGTGAGCCAATTAATGAGCATTGCCACCCTGCTCTGTTCACATCCCAGATTAAGTTACTCTATTCACGGTCAACCCAAGAAACGGGCAGAGGGGATTGTGACAGATGGGTCTGCTGATGTACCGCAGATGGGGCAAGTGCAGGTAAAACCTAACAAGATCAAATTTAAAGAGACAGGATCGCTGTGTTTTTTTTGGGGGGATGGGGAGGGAATCTAAGAGGACTTTGATTTGAGATTATTAAAAGGAACATCTGGAACCAGATCTTTATCTAAAATTCCTGTGGTTTTCTTGGAAATGTAAACGTCCACATTAGCAAGAGGAAACCAATCTGAGAGACCCAGGATGAATTTCTTATAAGGCCACACGCAAAGGTGGTCTGTTTAATCCAACCTCGCTCGCTTTCGCTCTCTGCTGAAGAGTGCAATTTTTAAATCTAATTGTTTCCGTCCATTGGCTATTTGTGTTGTTCAGATTTGAAAAGATAACCAACTTTATCTTAATCTGACTTTTGTTTCCTCCTCCTCCTCCAATTGTTTTCCTTCCTCTCTTGATGCACTGACTCACAGTTCCATAGGCAATGCCTAAACATTCTTCATACCATATTTAGACAGGGTTTGTATGCTATTTAAATATTTGGGAGAGGGAAGCCCTATAATTGAATCAATCCTATTCTCGCTGACCTTCCACTAGTTGCCTTAAAAAGCGAGATTCTTGATGTTTTCTTTTGCCATCTGTAGCTCACTGTGAGCACTTATTACTATTTGGCTCAGATCAGCTAATTCAGCACAGACCATGGATTTAACTTTACATATCCTTGGTCTGTATGATTCAGGTTCAACCTGAGGAAGGTTAGTCGTCTATCACTCCAACACATGAACAATAAACCATGAATTAAGTTTTTCTTTTGAAACCCTGGTCAAATCAACATCCAATGAACATTACAAAATGTCCCAAAGAATTTAAATAAAACATTGCATAGCTGAGACTAGCCCATTTATGGCTTTACCTCTTCGCTGTAACTCTCTGATGAAATAAACAGCAAATATTGCACATTACTTTCTATATATAGTCAATTCATGACCAATGAAGCCAGATTTGACTGAGTAGAAGAGTGTACAATGTGAAATGGATATATTTTATTACACATGCTGGTGTGAAGTATTGATGAACACTCCACACCACAGTCAAATCTCATCATTGCAAACTCATAAAAACAGGCAAATCAGTCAGTCAACAGTTCAACAGCAGAACAGTTCCACGGTTATCAGCATCCTCCAGTCCCTCACCCAAATCACCATTCTTCATGCACATACACTGAGTGTCTGTGTACACACCTAGTGTTGTTGTAAACACTGTTGGTGTACACACAGAGTGTTGGGGTACACACTGAGTGTGAACCTACACACTGAGTGAAGTATACACAGTGAATGTGAGTACTGAGCATACTGAGTGTCGTAATACTATTTAACAAATGGAGCCATGGAAGTTATGTTGTCTGATCCAGTTCTCACCCAAAATCCACACGCTCATATTTTTCAGCAATGCGTCTCTAGAAAGGAACAGGACCTGTGGCTAATAGATTTTTCTCCTCCCTAGCCCAGGGGCCCAAAAGAGAGGACCTTTCCTGTCCTTACCCCCACAACTGCTCCAAATGAGGTCAAACTAGTAATCACATTTCTGGCCTTCAAAAACTGTGGCCTGCAAGACACTACCTTGACCCACCAAGCAGAGAGTGTGAGTTTACCTGCCTGGGAAGTAATCTGGGAGTGATGGAAACAGGTTTGAAATAGAAAGATTTCCATAGTAAAATCTGTGCATATATAATGACATGGGAGAAGGGATGGAGTGGGGTTGGGTGGGGGGGTGGTGGGGATAATTTATGAGATCGGCAAACTGATCTGTAAATAGCAAATCCTGCATTGTACTCAGATGTTTCTCAGCTGAACCATTGTGCTCAGGGCTGATCTCTGGTTCTGCAGGAACCTCCTTTGGCCACAGATCCAGTTTTATGGAGTTGAAAATGTGATCAGCTTCCGAGCGGAGTTCTGTAGGGTTAGCCTGAGACTAAAAGGGATTCACCTTTTACAAATCTAGCATTTAGAACCCCCTCCCATGCATTATTTATTCACAATACACAACTTTTCAAATCTTTGTCACAGTTGTATAATGCCTGGCGTTAAATGCACATGGTATTTTTTTGTGCCAAACAGGCTGCTTCAATAAGTCAATTATTATGGTGGAGCAAGGCAGTACACAGAGAGTGATGTAGTTACTGTTGGGTGACATGGGAGACGGAGGGAATTGTACTAACGTATTTCAGGAGAAGGCCAGTCCTTGGAGTGACCCTGCAGTGGAGTACTTGCTAGAGTCCACAAAAGACTGGTCTGACATTGGGGGGGAAGAGAGACAGAGAAATAGACAGATAGTTTGGAGGGTGGAAGTGGAGGAAGAGGGAGAAAGAGAGAAAGAGAGATGAGGTTAGTGACTTCCAATGGGAAAAACAGCAATACAATAGCCAAACGTATAAATAAGGACCATTAAAATCTATTTCCTGATAAATACCTGCTTTTTGGGTAAGTGTGGATCAGCAAGGGTAGATTTTCACCCATAATTAACTTTTAAATAACGAATCTGGGGACATTATTCGGTGTACGTTAATCAGAAACTCTGTTACATGGCTGTCTCCGGGTAAAATGCAAACGTGTGCTGGTGAGCTGGACTGCATCATATTCCAAGGTTCCAGGAGAACACAAGGATTAGAGTTAATGCGGATTCTCAGAACTGGTGGATGTGCATTTTGGGATGTGCATTTCACACTCCATCAGATGTCCGCTCTCGGCGTGGGAAAATAATCAATCAGATCTGTTGCTTCAAACTGTAAAGGTACTTTTTGCTTGATTTTGAATATTTTTTGATGTTCCAAAATAAATCTTGGTTTTCAACTAAATTTACCCCAGGACTTTTACCCCAGGACATCAATTTTAATTCCATCCCTGCCCGCCCAACACCCCACCCACACGCACACAATGTTCTCCCATTTCTATTGCACACAAAAAATAGACCCCGAAAACTCCAGAAAAAAACATTTTTTGGGGAGTGGATAATAACAGACTTTAAACCGTCCTTACATATAAGCTTAACACAGATAAAGCAACAGAATGTGGACATCAAACGGACAAACATTTGCTTTGGCTTTACTGCACTGTGTTAGTTTTCAATCCTACATAAGTCATGGTTAGAATACTGTTCGAGTCGCTGCTCCTCTGTTTTGCCTCAACTTTAATTTTTATTAATGGAAACTCTTAATGGGCCTGTTTGCAAACTGTCCTGAGATGGTGGCAGTGAAATGGAGCTCACGACCACACTATACAACGCTCGACTTTGCACAATATGAAGGAAAATTGATTTTGGTTTTAAAAGTGTCCCAAAAGTCATGATGAAGAAGCATCAGAAAGGCTTTAAGGGTTAAATTTAGCAATGGCAGTGCTTAGCTCACCTCCATGTTTAAGATGACCTGAGGGGAAGTGGGGGGCGGGGCACGGTTTACCTCTATAAATACAATCTTCAAACCATGATATCTCTCTCTCTAGCTGGGGGGGAAAATCCTGTCTGATGGCACAGGGCCTTTAGATAGCAGCTAACACGGCATTTTAATTAAATGCTAAAAAGACATTAGTGAGGTTTGTGAAAATATACTTCAAACCTGGGCTACGTTACAGATACCAAACCGCTTTAATGCCTCACACCTTGCCACTGGACCTAACACACTAGACAGATTCTCAGCCTAACTGCAGTGAGTTAAACCGGCCTAGGCCTTGTGCGAGCTCACCTTGGAGACTGCTAGCGTTGGCGCTGGTGCAGGTCGGGGGAGGGGAAGTCTGTGGCCTCACCACTGGAGCGAAGGCGCTTTTTTGTTTCACTGCAGAGACCATATTGGCTGGTGAGAAGGAGAATATGCCAGAGGTACTGGTACAATTGGAAGGAAGGCTGGTGGAGGAAGCCATTGTAGGACTGGACGGCACTACTGCAACGAGAAAGGAGGAAATATGTCAGCCATTTTGGTGGCATATATAGAGAGAGCCATACGAATTTTGTTGGTTACATCAATCATCTCCTGAATAGTAATCTGTGATTGTACGACGACAATTTGAGCCATATGGAAATGTCGAGAAAAGTGTGACCACAGCAGCACAGAACAGCTGTTGTACCAGCTGGGTCACTTACCTGGCGACATTCACAACTCAACCCTATAAACCCCTGACTTTCAGTGGCCGATGCGTTTGCGAGCCACAAACTTGGCCGGTTAGGGTTGAGGGAGATTTTTTTCGGTGGAGGCGGAGAGAGTGGTTGGTGGGGGGGGGGCAGGGGGTGAAAATTGAGCCAAGCTCATTTTTTTTTGTCAAGAATGAAACAGAGAAACAATTTACATAATAAAAAATTTGGGGCTTTGGGTCAAACGCAAAAGTGCCACGAGCCGTCAAATGGCATTTTACCTCACACCATAATGAAACATTTGAATGGAGCAGGCCTTCCCTGGTGGCTCTGGTTAACATTCCCCATTCCACTCCATTTGCTACGTGAACCGTTAAGAGATTGACAACCTTTCCCCACCACCTTCCTCAGCTCCCCCCAAAACCGCACACCCCTGCCCCAACCCCCCGCCCCCCCATGCCTCCAGTTTGGGCTCCTGGTCAACTCTGTGAAGCGCTTTGAGAGTTCCTCCTGATGTGAAAGGCGCTGTGTAAATGTAAAATTGTTGGTGTTGAATTGGCTTGGCTGTGTATCAACAGTTCTCTTCTAGTGCGTGATCATTTATTCTTTTCATTAACACCTTGTCTTTACATCTTCATATCCTCTGCGCTGCCCAGCTTTGGGTTTATTGCCCTGTGGCTTAATCAGACAACAGGCTCGCTAAAACAAAAACTATCGATTGCTGAAAATTAGAACCAAAGAAATAGCAGCCTGTGATTGTAAATGTCTTTATCTAAGGTCACCTTAGCTCCCTGTAATACCAGTAATAAATGTACTGGACTCAAAGTGCTGGTATCCAATCGTTATTCATCCAATTAGTTTATTGATTTAATTAAGAGTGACGCCTTTTAATTAGAGCGCCTGACTGAGACAGTGTCTGATGTGGGGGAGGTCAGGTATTACTGACCCCACACTGCCACCACCCCTTCCCTCAGTGTGTTTTTTAAAAGAGACAGTATCCCTTTCAGTTGGCCGGCAGTGTGAATTTTAAAACTCTCAGCAGTCAAACTGTCTGAGTTAAAAGGTTCACGGGCCAAAATCAGTGTATAAAACGGAGATGCAGGAGACTGGTTTGCAGGATTCCTTATTGAGAAAAGTGGAATTATCAAATTTCTAAAACACTGAATGTGATATGAGTGTATTCTTGAATATGCTCCATTTTTTTTTAGAAATTCAATAAGCACAATTTTGTCAAGAATTCTTTACCCCGCAAATTACGTGCTGATAACATAGACGCTCAAAATCAGCCACTTTTTTTTAAGCTTGAGCTTTGCACCCTCAGCTGCCGATCACTGCGTCTCTCCAGGCAGGAGAATGGTGCTTATTAAGTGCTTGCCGCTATGTTTACTGTGCGGAAGAACCCCATGATGTACGTCTTAGCGCTGAATTTGCATGCTCAAAAATAGCACAGTCTCTTCACACACGCATCACGAGTGTTATGTGGGCATGTGCCTATGGAAACTCTGGTCTGGAACATTTTGACAGAGACGGCACTGCCAACAGATGTAGGTTCAGAACCCCAATACCACACAATATAACTCCTTTGGGAGTACCCTCCCCACCTCATTTGTGGTATTAGAAAGTTTCTGGGTGTGAATGAATAAGTTTAGACATCATTGCAGTTTCACTGAGCTTTGAGATATGACTCATTCAGCCCTGGAGAACCTGTGCATTTCTACTGAACCGATTAATTAACACAGATTATGAAAGTGGTGAGATCCGGTTGACGTTTGTTTGATTTATAATTTGAAGAGCTGTAAATCTGAGAAGGCCGTAGAATGTACACAGCATACCTGGGGGAGTGCCCTAGACTAGATAGGGGTGAGAACTGAAAGGTTGAGGGAAATCCTAGCCACAGTGCAGTAGGCTATAAAACGAGCACAATACGAAAACATCAAAATGAAGACATTTGTGTATTAAGTGAAGAACGAGCCACATGTATGTAACGTGAGATGCATCATCCTTACACGGTGTCTTTACGGAGCAAGACTCCTGGCACGGTACCACAGAGAGGAGACTTAGCGGCAGACAAAGAATCTTCTGCAAAACTGTTAACACAACAGAGCCTAGAGCCAGCTTGCAGCGAGTCCTGATTGCTTGTTTAAACCAGTGAAGTTATGATGTCATTCAATGCAGGTATTTCAGGATGACTTAGTCAAGCTGTGTGGCTCAACAAAGACTGGTCCATCTGCATTGTCAATGATGGTATAAAACATCATCCCTGAACTTGTTTCCACTGTTGTAACTTCAACATCATAACAGTCATAGAGGTTAATGGCACCAGTTTTAAATCTTAATTTTCCTTGTTCCATATTTCAGAAACACTGAATGATGGAGGTGAAATATTACAACCAGTTACACAGATGCGATTAATGGTGCTCAGACAGACAAGACAGAGTTTGCAACTTAAAAGGCCTCACTGAAGAATATCATTGTCAACTGATGGGTTAATGGTACTGAACCCTGAGTTTTGGCCAGTGAACATTCCTCTTATCCTCCTCCTCAACTGAAGACAGAAAGACACTTCCATCCCCTCCAACCTTTTCATGGGGGAGGGGGAGATTATCCCCTGCTGCCCCCCTGGTTCCGCCATCAATGTGCCATGGTGCACTGTTGCTGAGTGCAGACACTAATTTGGATTATCGCTGTGAGTCGTGACCCAGTGGTTCCGAGAGTATGTTTCCCCAGTATAGGGCAAGCCCATTGTAATGTGTCCAATCTCTCAAAAGTGATGTTATCTAACAAAGTGTGAAAAAATTTCCAACTTAAGTCTCTGTTAATGACACATACTGTACTTTGTGCACTATGCCTGGGAAGTGCCCCTGATGTCACATCCTGTGTGCTGCATATGCTTAGAAACATGCGGGAAGTGAGGTTAGTAGTGCAGGAAACATGAGTGATGTTTCCTGCATGTAGCTTAGTTGTACTCAATGTGCAGTAGTTGACAACAGCAGCAACCTGATGACCCAGAAGTTAGGTATTTATTATGGCAGGAAACGAGCCAGTCAGTGCCAGAAGCCAAGTGATTGATTTAAGCAAACTTTTCCTCCACCAGGGGGCAGTCTAATGGGGTCCACAGTATACATCAGCAAAGAGACTAAGTGGTATCTGGTTTTGTAACTTACTGGCATATGGCGAATTGGCAGCAGAGCCATTGAGGAAGCCAGGAGATCCTCCCAGGTTGGACATGCCAGCGTTTCCGTATCCATTCATACTCGTTGTCACAGAGTTGTAGTTCGTCTGCTGCGGAGTGGAGCTTGGCACATATCCATGAGGAGATACGCTGCTTGTGTTACGACTGAAACCTTTATCAGAAAGAAATTAGGAAGATCATCAGCTGCACTCTGACTGAAACCCTTCAATATGTTGAAGGTCCAATTCTAGTACCCTACTGCTGAAGGAAACCCTTAGTAACATGAACCTTAATAAATGTAATAACATTTCTACAACAAGGAAGATCCTGTTCAGAGGAGGGGTAAGAATGTAAAGAGACGGATGAGATTTAATTCACAGAAAGGGGCAAATATGTGGAATCACTACTCAAGGAAGCGATTGAGGCAGATTATGACAACAAATTAAAGAGTGAATTAAATTGCTATCTGGTGAAGTAATTGATAGAGATGAAGTGGTGCAGGATTATTTTATACTTTGGGACCAGTCGGATGGACCTCAATGCTACTATTCAGAATGTTATAATGTTATAAACCATATATGTGACCAACACTGCTGTGGACAGGGCTCTTGCTATTCCTGTGTGCCTTGTTTGGGGACTGGAGAAGGACAATCTGAAAAGCATTCCCTTCCTACCTTGGGAAGGACTTCCCTCAAGGAACAAGCTTAATAGAAATCCATAGAGATATCTGTAAGCTGATCCTTTTAGCTTTTTTGACAGAGTGTATATAGGGGACTATTTAGGGGGAAGAAGAGCTTCTCAACAAGGCTTCTCTAAAAAGGCTTGTCCTCACTGCCGAACTTTCAAACAATTGAGAATTAGTTCTTGTTGTTATATTTTCGCACATTTCCTGGCGTTGCCGGTATGCTTAAGGTAATAAATTGGATCCAAGGTAGCTGCAGAAATCATCCGCAATGGTACGACATGGTGAGATGTAGTGATAACCGAACCAAGGAAACGGGTGAGGTGGATCGCAACACAGCCTTTCAATTTACAAAAAGAGAAATTAGTGGATTAAAGGCATAGAAAATAGGTTTGCAATCTGGAATCCATCACAATACAGTAATTCTCAAAATAATATTAATACCTTGTGATCACCGCTACAACAAATATCTATTTCTCTCTTACTCTGTAGTACAAAACACCCTGTTTATAACTCAAAACTTTCTCTTCAAACTCATAAAGAAAGCTTTGCTAAAAAAAACATGACTGTCGTAGATTCACAAAATAATTTTATCCACCAAATTGTTTCGGAATAACAGGTCGTTATCTGGCATGTTGGCAATTTCTAAAGAAATTCATTAATAAAGAAACCAAATGATGACTCCTGCTAACTGGATTTATGTCACATGGGAACTTTATTCCAAAGGTAGATTACGTTGGAGCAGAGTTGACATTACTTCTGGTTTAGGTTTCCTTATTAAGGAATCCTGTTGGAAATAGCTGGACATTAGGCCTCATTGATGAACTTAGGATGTGAAAGCTTTTTTATTTCTCTTACATCTCTGACATTTCTTCTGTGCCGAAAAATGAAGAAGTGTCAAACGTATAAGATCTGGAACAAATTTGTATATCTAACAAATGCAGGACACAAGCTAACAAAGCACGTTTACTGTGGAGTAAGTTGTGGCCTTGCATTTTTTTTAAATTGAAGCCTGTGCTGTGTGCTTCAATCGTGTCATTAACTCACTGGAATTCGGTTTGTCCTTTCTTATCAAAAAGAGTGTGAGAAGTGGAAGGGTGAGGAGTGCGGCCAATCAAAGTGAAACACACCGCAGTCACAATGTTTCGTTGGAAAGAAATGGCAATACTTGAGATGAAAGCAGGGGGTAATTTCTCACTGCCTAGCTACAGCAGACCTGTGATGCATCGTCTAATGTACCATGTTATGTACTTATCAAGTCTCTAGTTTGGAAGTGCGAGAATCCTGACTTCTCTCCAGAATCCCATATAAACATTTAAAACCTTCTTCAATCTCTCTTATAGCTTTGCAGTCTGGGTTGATGCCACAGTGGACAAAGCCTGTAATTGTAACCCTTTTATTGACATTGCAAATTGAGTGTGGGAATACATGAGTCTTGCCTTTGTTATCTGAACGGATTCCCATTTAATATAAAAATACATAAAAAGTAATTTATTTGAACATTGTACTCTCACACATCATAATGCTTTCAGAGGAGTACTGTGTTTTGGGAATGCAAATTTCAGAACACGAGAAATAAAAGCTTGAAGAAATATATTAACTGTTATGTGCAAAGAGGGAATTTGGGATTAGAGTGGATAACTAGCAAGGAGCTAGAAACAGCAGAACCCACAATGGACTGAATGGCCTCCTTATAGGTAGTCTACATAGACCAACATGCTTTCACTTTTCTCTCTACTCTTTCAAAGGCACTGAAACAGATTCCACACACCCATGCAAGCCCAACACCTACATTATTGACCCCTGATATAACTCTGTTGTCTCAGTAGTCATGTTCGCTTGAGCATCCCATCATCTCAGACCTTATCTGCCTTTATAATACTATCTGTCCTCACCTCCCTGATGCACAGTTGCATTACATTCTGTGTGTTGATGTTCGAAAGGCAATAATAAGACTTAGAGGCTGAACAATTTTTTTTTAAATTCAGAATGAAGCATTTGGTGGAAAATGTCTCCTAGAATCATAGAATCATAAAATTATACAGCACAGAAGGAGGCCATTCGGCCCATTGTGTCTGTGCCGGCTCTTTGAAAAGAGCTATCTAAATCGACCATAATCCCCCGCGTTCTCCCCATAGCCCTACAAAAGTGTCCTCCCCAAATATCTATTTACTTCTCGCTTGAAAGTTGTTATTTAATCGGCTTCCATCACCTTTTCAGGCAAAACATCACAAAAATCACAAGAGAAGTTCAGATGAAGAACTTCAGCTCATTCATTCTAATCCTTTCAGAATACCCACCCCATTACATCATCCAAACGTTTCTTAAAGTCATCCAGTGAACTGACCTCCACTTCACTTCCTGCTAATCCTCTCCAGATATTCATTACACTATGTGTAAGGAAATACTTCCTGGTTTCTGTCTTGAAACCCTTCACACCCCTGAATCTGTTCCCTCTTTCCCTGCTGCCTCGGTGAATCTTACAGTATACTTCCAAGTTCATTTTTCTTCCATTCTGCGTCAGTTGTCAATCTTTTGATGAATATTTGTCAGATGTTGTTTATTTAAGGAATCACTGGGTTCAGATAGAGAATCTAAGGCTTATGTACTATCACCAGAATCTTTAATGGATTCAACAAAGTAAAGTGATCGTACCAACTTGTAGGACTTATTCTAATGATGACACGCACATCCTCACAGCAGTGATACTCAGTAACATTTTGGTTAGTGTCATAGTCTCAAAGAGACTGTTCTACAGTGCCCTATTGAGTGATGAAACACAATATAAGTCTATACCTGCCTGCTGCACATATTGAGATTCCCATTTCAATCATGCCATTGCAGAGATTTACCAGATATAAGATGAGTACTCAAGAACAGAAGGAAAGAGAAAACTGCAGGAGGGAGGTTTATTAGGGCACTTTCACTTGGATGTTTGAATAAGCCTGCTCTTAATAGAATCCCCTCACTTTCTCTCATAGAACACCAGAGAATGCCAGGGAAGAATACTGCATTGGGGCTTTGGCAGAATCCCATAGCCAAGCAGATCAATTACAACATATATAAATTATACAATATATATATATATTATATATGTAAGCTGAATATCTCAAAGTGCATTACAGATATAATGGAGGGGACTGAGAATGAAAAAGATTCATCATCACACTGAGGTCTAACATCCTCTGATCGCTGATAGGGACCTTTTCTCTACACCTTTATAATGGGAATCCCCATTAATGAAAAATTGTTATTTTTATTGAGTGCGGTAAGAGAGACCCCTCCTCCCCAAGTGCTTTCTTTATTGAGTTACTGTAAGGCTTAATAGCTGTAAACGATCAGAAAAAGTCTACATCTTAGGATGTGCCTGCTGTCGACCCAAGAGAATGAGTTCTGCATCGCCAGGCACTGCACGTCTGCTGCAAAAAGCACACCACTGACTGCACATCTGGTCCACTTACCCTGATTAGCAGCCTGCGTGGACTCGGAAACATTCACAGCCAGCTGGCCGCTGAAAGAGTTAACTCCCATCATTCCTGCGTGGACAGATGTGTTGCTGAGAGCTGGGAGCTGGTTGTGGTTTCGAGGGACATTGTACAGAGCCTCAGCTATGTCAGCTGCTCGCTTCAGGATGATTTCCTATGGGGAGGGAATTGTTAAAAAAAAATGCAAATCTACATCTAGTGTGATGCTGGACCATCATGATTTAATGTTCATCTCACTTTGAAAAACACCGAACACTTAATACAATACAAAACAATTTACATTTTTATAGGGGCTTTCACGTCGGGAGGACATCTCAATGTGGGGCCACATGAAGACAATTACCTGACAAATAATCAGCTGAAACTATAATAGAACATTTGTTCTGTTATTTCATGTTATGAGGTTTCTTTTTTGTTAAATCGACATGATTCACTGCATTCCTCTATCCTATATTGAGACTTGTCCTAATTTTACGCCTGTTTCTCCCCTGAAGGCCTGGACTTGTACAGTGCTTCTATGTGAGTTGTACATCTCTTAGTTTTTCCTGGATGAGTCCTAGCAATAAGTATCAGCTGGCTGTTCAACCCTGGGGTTAGAGGGAGGATTCAAACCTTCTGGATTCTGTCCTCAGCTGGGTGGGCAAGGAGAAGGAAATTGAATAATAATAATAATAATCCTTGTATTTGTAAAAGCGCATTATCACGTTGTTGAGACTTCTCGAAGAGCTTCACAGGATATACTGTAAAGTGAATTGACTGAACAGTTTGTAGGCGAAATGCAGTAGTCAATTGCGCACAGCAGTGTCCCACAAACAGTCAGGATTGAGTGACCAAATTTGTTTTTTATGGGATTACTACCCCTGGAAAGCAATCCACCAATCGACTAACAACGAGTTCCTTCTTAATTCTAAGTAAACAGAGGCATGTGAAATAAGGAAACCTACCTAAGGTTTTGCCCTGCTTGGGAAATGAACCCAGGTCCTCTCACTGGCAAAGCGAGTACTCTAACAAATACGCTACATTGTGGATAGTGACAGAGAGTAGCAATTCTGAGTGATTTTTTNGTCATTCCTAGGATAAGGCACTAAGATCAATTTGATCAGTGGTGATGCGAAACTCATTGACTGAGATCAGCGAATTTCGTACACAAAGATGATGGAACCTGAGACCTTCCTTGCCACTGGGACGAGAGTGGCAGTGACTGATTGTGGATAACCATATCCAATTCTCAGGTCGCTTTCTGTCTGTCGAGATACATTTCCAGAAACTCTGGGCCAGGATGAGAAAGCAGATAAAGTGAAATTAGATCAGACAAAACGATTGCTGCATGCAAAACTTTTTTAAGTTCCTAAAATCCTTATATTCAGATGTGAGACGAGCATCTTGGTTGGCAAGACCGATGTTCTACTCCAACATTAGAGGTACACTAAGCAGGAATATAGTACAGTCTCAAGGTACTATCCTCCCATCTTGACCTGGATCAGGTTGGAAATTGCACAAGGCTGTGGGGGGAGGGAGAGAAATCAAATCTACTTTCACCACTCGCTGCCTGTTACTGAACAACACTGCAATGTCCTGTGAGCAATCACTGCTTTGCCCAGTTCCAAGCTGATGTGGTCGTTACCAGGATAGCTCCGAGATGCTATCCTGCATGATGAGCGCTATTCAAATACAAGTTGTTGTTGTTACCTGGTTGTTGTGCGGCATGCCGTATAGTGCTTCCACTAAGTCAGCTGCTCTCTTCAGTATAACTTCCTGTGAAGAAAGCACAAAGAATGCAAGTTCATTTCCTCTGCAATCTTCAGCACATAGTGCTCAGCTGACTCTGTATCCAGCTGATGCCAAAACTAACAGTGTAACCCGTAAAGCACTGCGCAGCCTGCAATTACCCTCAAGGTGGATGCCAATACTTGAAGAAGGAAGCGATTGTTTTAGCCATCCAGCTAGCGAGCTTTGCATTCCGTGCTTTTGAAAGGATTTAAAAATAAAAATAAATAAAATCTTTGTATTTGATACGGCACCTGAAATATTGCAACATCTCAAAGTGTTCACCTCTCTTGGTATGCAGAGAGGTACACAACTGCCCTCAATCTCTGCACCTACAACTAGTGTGACCACCACTCAATGAGTAAGGGTGTATGTCCCGATCAGGAGGATCGTGAAGTATTCTTACACATTTTATGCAGAGGTTTGCTGTCCACCATATTACAGTGAAGAGTTCTCTGGGAATAAGTAAGCAGAATGCATGGCGAGAGAGTGCGCTACCCATACCAGGCAAACATCAATCATATATGTGGTGCTGTCAGTGGTTTTGATTAGAGACTCTTAGCCATGATGCTGAGTTTTTGTATGTATCAGATCCCCAGCTGACCGAAAGAGGAAGTAAACGAGAGAGAGAGTTACACAGAAAGAGTGTATCAGAAAGGCTGAGAGTATGCTTTTCTAAGTGAGAAGCATACTAAAGAAGACAGAGATATATACAGAAAGAAAATAATATTAATTACAGAGCTTAAATTCCCTGACCATCGAAAATATTCTCCCCTCCTCTCAAGTTGCTGTCTCAGGCTGGATCAGGCCCTAAGAGGTCACTCTCCAGTGCTCACCAAGTGCCTCTTCTTAATGTCACTGAACAGGGATCAGATGCAAAAATATTAGTTGGCCTGCCCTCTTTCCCCAGCCCAGAGACAATTGCTCCATTTGAAGGCCCTTTGACTGCTACTCTTACTGAAATCACCAAACCCTCTAGAAATAGCACTTTTAAGTTTTTTTGCATTCCAGCTTCTGATCAGCAAATAATCCTTAATATGCAATGGTCATGCCTGAGTCATGGGTCCTCTGAAATTAACACGAATGTGGAAAAATGAATGCAAAATCAAGCTGGCAGCTGACAGTAGTGCCACATTAGTGGCCTAATCCAATGCAGAAATGCATGCAAGTGTTGCGTGACTACTCAGATCAGACCACTTGTACTTTCCGAAGCTTGTTGTTATCTTACTGTGATTATCAACGGGGAATTCATTAAGCTAACTGCAGGAGAAGAGGGAGTGAGATCACTAAGCACTAGGATGCACTGGAGCTGAAAGCAAATAGTTGTTTACTCATGAAACACCTTGCAGTTAATGAGAGCTGTGGAAACGGATGGGACAAACCTATTCGATAGTGCTCTCAGCTGGAAAGTTTCCTTCTCAGGGTTTGAAAGTCTGCAGTGATATTTACAGCAGCTTACCTGTGTGTAGTGGGTAGGGTGAGGGGGGATTAATTATAGTAGACTCCTACGTACAATTCATTACAGAAGTACCTGCTGTTTAATCTTGAGAATGAATAATTGGAAGGTACTTTTACTGAGTCACTGAGTAACAACAAAAATGGATAAGGAAGGATCTGCTTGGGATGAGAGGATTAGGATAGTAGGAGACCAAAATGAACAAATACTTCACGGGACAAACTGGACTGTGAGTGGGGGTGGGGTGTGTGAGGAGGATAGAATTATCTATGGAGGAAAGATGGCCAGGGCTGAGTAGTAGAGACAGGGTATGTATGACTCTTCGGTTGTTGATTAGCTTACCCCAGAAACAAGCCCAAATTATTATGAATGGACAGGGAGGGAGGGTAAGAGCAAAGACTTGTGTAGGATATCTGCTTAAATGTAAGAAATATCACACCATGGATATATTCCTGCACTGAATACTGAAGCCTTGCCAAGGAACAAAGAACACTTTTTCGCACGAGCATCAAAACTAGCAGTTTAAAAAAAACTTATAGAATTTACTCCATAGTCTAACAACAGTAAGCAATAATGATAGTTAAAATTCACCTCAAATACAAATACGTAAAATAATGTAGTTACTATGGGCAACTTAGCAGTTATGTCCAATTTCCATGCACTATTTAAGTATTTGTATATATAAAGGCCCCAAGAAAGAAGGTAAAACACTTTTACTAACATAATTACATTCATTTACTTGTCAACGTCAACATTTTCAAAATTCTTTCCATCTATTTTCCGATGACAAGCGGCTGCGATTTTAAACCCTTCCACAGCACAAGGTAAAATTGTTTGCATCTGCTCTAACAGCCATTTAGAATTCAAAGCATTTTCATGCATATAGAATGGCTGGCGCTTCACATTTTTTGTTTTTTTTTGATGGAGGGGGGCGGGGTGGGGGGCGGTTGTCTCTCAACTTGCACACATTCTTCGAGGGGAAGAAATAATCACCATGTTTCCTTCCTCTGGTTTTGTTCAGGTACCCCTGACAGCTTATACAGGGACCAGACTGGGCTCTGGTGACTACTGTCACTCAACATGGGCAGGAATGTCCACTTGAGGGCGATGCAGGCAACGAGACTCATACCTCAACATGAGTCATTGAGGTTGGGAGGAGGGAGAGATATTGGAGGGGGTAAGAAAGTCGCGACAAACAGAAATCCTAATGCTATGGGAAGCTCAGTGTTTTCTGCTGTCCAGTGACCAGAGAATTATTCTCTCTTTGTCCTTATTCTGAAACGAATATGCCCATGTCACCGACGTAGGCATAGAAATAGAAATTTGCTGCACAGAAGGGTGTCTGTGGAATTGCTATTTGTTTTTCTTTGATTCCACTTTTGGGCTCTTTTCCCATATGTTTTTGCTGCCCAGGTGTGTGTTTCTATTAGCTAACGTTTTGCCCTTTATTCCCTGCAGAAACCCAGCCCAGTGTATACAAGGACAGAAAAGTGAAGAGTAGATAACAAAAGCAAGAGTTCAAGTGGACTTTCTGAAGTGCTGATTTGTATTCAGTAATGCTTTTGGACACAAGCTGCCTTCTTTCTCCCCTTATTCAATCTCTTGCTGGAATAGTGAAAACAAGAACTGACGCTTTGAAGCACTTCTAAGACCTCTGTGATATTACTGGGCACTATATAAATGCAAGTTGTTGATCTTGTTGCAGTGGAGTGGGGTGGGGGGAAGAGATTCTTAAGTTAAGACTAAATATTCAAAGACTACGTTGACAAACAAAACACGCTGATCTCCACTGAGGCTATAAATCTATAAGCTCCTCCGATAACTCAGTGAGTAAATGTACCTCCTGGTTTGCCTTTAGGATGTACCGAGATAGTAAGACACGAGTTGCAAGAGTTTAGAGTTGCAAATGGAAAATTCAGGAGAGATACCAGGAAGTTTTTCTTTACCCAGAAGGTAATTAACACTGGAACAAGTTGCCAGGAAATGTGGTTGAGGCCAGGACGTGATCTCATTTAAAAAGCATCTTGATGGGAGGACGATATAGTGGGTATTCTGGAGGGATGAGATCAGATGGACCGAACGTCCTTCTTCATCCAAACAAACCTTGCGATCTTGTGATACTCAGCCACATGAGGACCACAAAACATTTTCAATTCCACCCACTGTATATTTGCTTCAGCGCCCCCACACACCCCCATCCACCCCACCCCCGGGCTAGGAAGTGAAATTTCACCCTAGGGTTCCTTCCCCACAGTGCTGACAGGAACTTAAAAGCTATTTGATATTGGCGAGTGAAACCATGTGAGGAAATGTGAAATAAAGGATCGAATGAATCCTTTCAAGTATCATAAATTCTTTTATTCAATTCACTTCTTACGCCCACTGAATTTAGAATAGATCTTGAACCAAATTATAACAATGTTTAAAATCGTAGTTTTCCCCTAATGCCTCAGTGTCACACAGAGCTGGAAGGTTCCATGTTCAGCTCCTAATCTCTATTTACTCTATTCAGCATCCAGTAACTACTCCAAAATCTTACTGTATCAGGGACTTTATTCCATAAACTCTATCTGTGGGGGAAAGCTCCTCATAGACACTCTCTGCAAAGCAATTCAAGCAAAATTCCATGACATTCCTAAAACTACACACATCCACCAGTCAAACCAACCTCTTTCCACAGGGTTCCAAAGACCCTCCACACCTTTGGGTGTTAATTTGATTTTTGAAGAATGCAACACAATGACAAGTGGCACTTAGTCCTTTAGATAGAGAGAGAGAGAGAGAGAGATAGAGAGAGCAACTGAAGGTTTCCTACAAACACAAATACAGTAAAGATTCCAGATATTATACATTATCTGGGAATATAAGCCCTTACTACCCATAATATTACATGACTCAAGACAAGGGAGACATGCTTCAGCCACTTGTATTGGCATGAAAATTGGAGGAATCTTTCATATTACAACCATATGAGGATGACATCATTAGGTCAATGGAAAATCCAATCACTGTTGGGCCCAGCACACTTAATTTGGGTCAGACAAATTTATCATCTATCTTAAATATGGATTTCAGATAATCAAAGCACTTAAGACAAAAGAAGATTCTGTGCATTATTTATTACCGAATTTTAAACAACGGCTGAAAGGGTAATTTTCTATAAATTTATAACACCAGTTGACATTTAAATACGTTTTCATAACTTTTCAAATGTGTTTTAAAGACCAGTTATATTTAGATGACAGGGTAATACAGGGACAGATGAGAATGCTTTATTGCTTGACTTTAATGAGCACTTGAAGCCTGTCATTGTCCTTGGCACACAGCATCTACATGGTAAAGTTAGTCTGCTAAACGTTCTGAAGGCATTGTACCTGATACAAGATTTACATAAATTTTTTTAAAGTTTAACACAAAAGTCTGGACCGTTTTTGTACGAGAGAGGAGGAGGTCGAAGGTGGGAGGTTGTTGTAATGGGTTATGCTGGTTATTAATGCTGACTATTTGCATTCCAATTTATTCTGAAATTACT